ACACACCGCCGCCGCCGCCGCCGCGCAGACCGCCCGCGAACCCCACGTGCGACTCCAGCTCCACCTAAGCACAATTAATACAACAATATTAGTTATGTAATAAATTTTTAGTTAGACTAACTTCATTCTGTTGTGCATAAATAATGAAGATCCATGTTGTTCATTAAAAAACAACAACTATAGATAGGGAAATTAATTTCCGTTAGTAAGTACTTACCTCCCAAGCCAGTGCGGCAAGGAATGCTTCATAAGCGGGGCTGCCGCAGCGGTTTGACAGGATCTCATTGCGTGTCTCCTGTCCTTTACCCACGTATATAACCGCCACCTTATGCGTTTCACGACACCTAAGTACGTTTACATAATTAATTACTTTTTCCTAACTTTTCATTTTTAAATTTTTTCTATAGTATTTCTGCATAGTCGTTTCCAGCTGATGATCAGACTAGATCTACGACAAGTACCATGACCTTATTAAAAGAAGGCTTATGGACAAATACATGAAAGTATAAGTGAAAGAGTTATGTCAGGATCTAGCATAATTGAGGTCCGTGGTGTCTGCTTATCCTCCTGGGTCACATTCGTGACATACATTATTATAATCAAAGTTTTTATATCTATTTTGCATTTTTCGATTTTTTGCCTAGCAGCTTTGCTGGGAAAGTTGCCCCCGTAACTACGTCCGTTTTTCTGCATATCGATAGGCACTAAAAACCAGGTAATATGATTCGTAGTATATAAGTTACCTCAAGGCGTCCAGGTTGCGCAGTTCCCTCAGCAGCCTGTCGGAGCGGCGCAACAGCTGCACGTGCGAGCGGCGCGCAGGCGCCAGCGCACCGCTCTGCGCCAGGAACTGCCGGCACAGCTCGAACGGGCCCGCGCTGCTCGCGCACCCAGACCTGCACTCCTCCGCGGCTTCCGGCTCATCATCACTATATGAACAAGTTTTTTTTTATTCAAGATATTATAGATATCAAATTCTGTGGGACCGAATTAAACTAACGGCTTTTCTTAAGCTAGATTCGTGATTTAATATTCGAGATTAGATTCGGGACTGTTAGATATAAAACGCTGGTGGTTGACGTCACTTAGTCTTTGCCGAATTACCTAGGATACTCTATGCCCGGACGACCGTCATCTTTAATTATAGATTGTGTGTGATTAGAACGTGTAAGAATAAAATAAACGTATTAATTACGGCATATTATTATAACAATATAACAGGGACTATAGAGGTAGGGAGGAGATAAGGGGGTATAATAATCAGTACTTTCTACAGACTAATGAAATTTAATAATTCACAATCACATTCTAAAATGTATTCAAAGATAAAATAACTTAAAATGACAAATTACCTGTCTCTCTGAGTAAGATATAATCGTTCAGCGTTGCGATGTGCGACGAGTGCGGCTACAAGTTCGTCCTCGTGTCCGGGCGGCAGCGGGGAGGGGCCCGCGCTGTCCAGCCGCCGCCCGCACGTCACCTCCGGGGACGTGTGCCCAATGTACGCTAGTACCTACACAAACAATTACTGCCGCACTCGGAATGCCCACTAAGGAAGACCCTTAACGTTAATTTATCATACTGAACGAATGTAGAAGAGTATTTAATGTATGAGATAACATCAGTTGGGCCTTTCCCTCACAACGGCTTACATAATTTTAAGTGCTGCTGGCGGATCTAAAACTATGTTCTACGGATCTCGTAAGATGTTTTAAGATTCCTCCTATACTGTTCTTCACTATCTCACAAATGTTGGAGTTATAATTTATACTTACATGATCTAACTGATGTTTGTCTGGCGGCGAGTTTTTGTAATCAGGTAAAAGATCTGGTGGCAACGGAGGCGGGAGTGATGATAACGTAGTGTCTCTTGGACAATCGACCCTGAAATAATAAAAATAACATACAAATGATAAGGCCACGCCATTATGTGACGGCATACTTCTAAAAAGTACTTTCGCGTGAACGTCTTTTGTGATTTGACAGATCGAAGTCATTTTCGCCAATAAAATAATAAAACGTGTAACATGCTCACGTGTCAGGTACGGAGAGTGATAGAACTTCTTCCGAGGAGGTGACAAAAGGGTCGTAGTACAAGGCGGAGGCGTCCCAGCACGCCTTGCCCGCGATATCACGCAGGAGAATACGGACTTGACGGTCTGATGTCATCAAACCTAAGAAAATAACATTTTATACATATTACAACAAACGTATATAACGAATTTTAATTATTTCGAAGTTGTCAGTTTTCTTTTACGTAAAAATTGGTTTACCTGGAGTAGTCCCACCGGTGGGCATATCAAGGGAGGGCAGTTCCACCAGCGAGGCGAGTGTGGCATCGCTGAAGCGCATCAGCTGGACATTCCTGGCGGCCAGCACCGCGGGGCCCAGCTCGGCGCCCAGCGGCGGGCTGCTGTCGTGCTGCTCGCACACGCTCGACGACACCTGGCACCCACTCCACAGCGGCCAGTGGCCCAGGTACAGCACCAGCTGGGTGCAAATCTGGACACCATGGTTGTAGAAAGTTACACTATGAAAGTACCGATTACAATAAAAGTTGCTTGTCTCTGCTGTTCTCTAACGATAAAGAACCATTTGATTGGAATATAAAGATATTCAAAAATATAAAGAGAAAGCATATTTGAACTTCACTTGAGACATTTTTCACATGATCCTTACTATTATAAGATTCTCTATTGATAGGTCCTCAAAACCACATGTCAAAATTAATCGTATTTAAACGATTTGCCACTAGGTAGGATTAGTCACTAAATCATATTTAAATTTTTATATTTTATTTTGTGACGATGATTAAACATAGTACCTTTTAATTAAATAACCGGTTAAAAAATGTTGTACACTGTGTCTAGTCTATTAATTTCTTGAATGTCTTTGTTACCAGGTAAGTCGACTGGATTTTAATTATATTTCAAACAGATTATACTTTGACACATTGTGAATACTTTAATCCTTCTAGTATTTTTTAATCAAATATTAGGTAATCAAAAGGTGCAAAAAGTTAAATGTTTCTGTCGTTAGTTATTGCTAAAAAGCTATATCTTACAGTTTGCGCCCAAAGTTTGACATCGATAGTTGAGGCGGGCGATGTCTTCGGGCCCAGGTTGTCCAGCTGGATATTGGGATCGAAGTCTTCGTCGACTGGCAGCGAAAGACCTTCTATATCGGAGCCATTGGTTCCTTTCATCACGGCGTATAGAACCTATAGGAAATCATTAATTAATGAACATATTTTATTATTAAGATTTTTGATATGTCAAAACCGCAAATATAGGTCAAAACCAATATTGTACAAAAAAATGTATTTTGAACTCTATTAACATGTCACGTTTAAGAGGATTTAGAATTGCTAAATTGTTGCGAAAAAGCCTTAAACAATGCTTTCTGATACAAAATTTATTAGGCGGTTAGCGATACGTAATATTGTTTAGCACTGCATCTTTGTAGGACACCTCTCGCCTACTTCATTAGCACCATCTTGCGGCTGAGCGGAGAGATTTTGTCACATCAACATCATGCTGTTTAAAACCCCAGCGTCCTGTAGCAGCCGGCACAGTCACCAGCTGACCGCAGCAGACAACAGTCCACTCTTGTGAACACCAAACAAAACAACCCACACACACAAAATGCAGAAATACGTAAGTTTTACAACTGAGTTTTGTTTTTAAAAAATATAATTTTATTTCAAAAAGACTTAATTTTTTTAACTAACATTGCATCGAGTAAAAAATTTTTTGTATTTTCATACTTAAATTAAACACTTTACCATTTATTTGCATGATTCATCAATCGTTGTCTATATTTGGAGTGCTAAAAATTCTACTTACTCATGCATTCATGTTTCTTACAAGCATAAAAAGTTTCAAATCCTAACAATAGAAAGCTCCTATATTAGCAATTAACCTAGCATAATTCTTGGAACGGATCTACTGGATTGTCAGTATGTGCTAATTACTATTTTTTTTTATGTATAGGTGTTGTGCGCCCTTGCTCTGATCGCCGTAGCGGCCGCCGCGCCCCAGCAGCCCGCTGAACAACATCCAGTCTACGTCCTCAAGCAGGAGTCAGACGTCGGCCCAGACGGTTACACTTTCGAGTGAGTACTACAGGCAACTGTCGTAAAAACATACATCTCTTTCTTTCTCTTTGAAAAAACAGAGATAGCGATATGTTTCATCCGTGAAACACTGTCTACAATAAAAACCTCAACACAATGCATAACTATATAGTCATCATTATACACAGCTTTTTTAAAACCTTTTGTAACAGAATATGATAAATCATTTTTCATTCAAAAATCATTCACAGATTACAATTGAACTTTCGTTTTAGAATCGAGGCTCTGAGATTATACACGTCATTGTTACTAAACCAATAAATTGTGAAGAATTAGACAAACATTACGTTCATTACATAATATTACTTGGAAGTTACAAGATGTACACTCAAATTGTATGTAAATACTAATGACCTTTCACATTCGAGTATTCAAGCATTACCTTTCTATTCGTAGAATTTATTTAAAGTTTTGTTACGTTGCATTACAGTTTCGAGACAAGTGACGGAACCGCTCGTCAAGAACAGGGTACCCTGAAGCAGGTGAGCGAAGATCACCAGGCTTTGGAGATCAAGGGAAGTTACAAGTACGTGGCTCCCGATGGTGTGGTCTACGCAGTCACTTTCACCGCTGACGAGCACGGTTTCCAACCCCAAGAGCATGTGGAGCACCCCAGCCAATAAATGGAAACATTCTATTGGAATGTTCTAGAACATTCTATAAGTTTACAATGCTAAATAAGCTTGTCAAATCTTGTTATAAATTACTATATGCTTGAAGTATACTACTTCTTATTTTGAAAAGAGTATACTTGTTATGGTATTTTTGGACCATTAGAATAAAGTCCTACTTGTCTTGTGTATGTACTGCTTAGTACTTTTAGACTGTTCTAGAACATATGAATAAAATTGTAAACCATTCCATCCTTTCAAGAAACATTTGTTTCTCGATTGTTTTCACACGATTTTTACATTTTGTACATTGTTGTTTTGTAAATAAATTCTTGTTTGTTGATAAATATTGAATTTAATTTTAGTTTACCATATCCAACGCCTAACATTATTTATGACTAGCTTTCGCCCGCGACTTCGTCCGCGCGGAATTAACGAAAAACAAAAGTGAACAGCCTACGTGTTCTTCCAGACTATCCTCTACATTTATGCCAAATTTCATAGAAATCCATCCGGCCGTTTAGGCTACAAACTCTAACAAACATCCATCTAAACTTTCGCATTTATAATATTAGTATGAAGTATGATTTATTTTGCATTTTACACCTTGAATGTTAAGTAAAGAATGGAAGGCCAAAGCTATTGTAAACATTACTTGAAATTTAGAAAATTGAGATATAAAAATTTACTATCTAATATTGGTATGTTCAATGATTTTTACCTTGTCAAATCACGGTTAACTGATATATTCTGTTTTAATTTCAAGTTCATACGAATTCGTACAATAATTTTGTAATATCCACAATGTTATTGAATTTTATAAATTCTATCATTATATGTTGATTACATTAAAAGTAATTCCATGTATTCATTTCAAGGCAATATAAAGTCAATACATATGGTAACACATAAGTCATCAGGAAGATAAATCGAATGTAATATTAGAGGTCGAATAAATCACGACGGAAAGTGTCAACGATCTTAATAGAAAAAAAAACTTGGATCTTTTATACAACAGATTTCAAATATAATAACAATAACAATTAAATGGACTTCTCTGTACTTATATCCTATGCAGAAATAATACGATCTAACATAGTTAAGATGACAGACTTACAAGAAAATTCAATGAAAAAAAAAATTGTCTATGAAAATATTTGGAATACAACAAAAACAATTTTCACCTGCGACTCCGTCCACGCGAATTTAAAAAACAAAGAACCAAAGCAAGCAGCCTATGTCCTTCACACTTTCCTCTTCATCTATGCCAAAGTTCACAGAGATCCGTTCAGCAGTTTAGATTACAAACAATACCATCATCCATCTAAACTTTTGCACTTATAATATCAGTAATATAATTACAGTTGTCTTACCTTGAATATGGTAAGCAGTAAGGAGTCTCCAGCTTCTTGGTGGTTGATGAGGCTCGCGGGGCCGCAGCGCACCGCGAACTCCGCCAGGCAGAGCAGCAGCGAGCCCGCCAGCGGCTTCACAGAGTCGCGACCACTGCTGCTCGATATTTGCCCAAGGCACGCGCATATCCATTTTATTATTTTCTCTGTGTAATACAATTAGCTATGGGTAACATGGAATTGATGACCTGCAGATCAGCTCAATTTATATTTGCATTTGTATAAGTCGCGTGAGCTGCGAGTAACCGGACAATTCGCAACTTGTCGGCTCCAATAGTTATAGTACTACTAATTTAGTTGTTGAGTCGCAGCTCACCGGATCATGACTGTGAGCTGATCCATTTAATCAGTTTAGAGTTGATTTACACATGTCTAAGTACGGTATATTGATATTTGACATTATTTCTGTAGTTATACGGCATCGTTATATATTAAATTTACCTGCAAGTCCAGGATAAAGTTCCACGATGCAGTCTGTGTAGTCAGCTAACACGAGTATAGCGTCGCTCACTACTTTGGCTATTGTTTTATTTTTCATCTGTATGAAAAAAAAAATGTGTTGATTATTTAAAATTAACTACTTTAAGCACCAGACTCCATTTGCGCCGAATTAAACAAAAACAAGTAGTCTATGTGTTCTTCCAGGCTAAGTTCTACATCTGTGAAAATTTTCATAGAGATCCATTGAGCCGGTCTAAAGACACCTTCTAGCAAACACCCAACCATCCATGTTAACTTTCGCATTTATAATATTACTAGCCTTTGTTTGCGATTCTGTCTTTGTGTGGTTAAAAAAATAAACAAAAGTGAATAGTCTACACCTTCTTCCAGACTATCCTCTATGTCTATGCCAAATTTCATGGTGATCCGTTCAGCCGTTTAGGCTACAAATTCTAAAAAACATGCATCTAAACTTTCGCATTTATAATATGTATTAGTAAGAAGTAAGGCTTAGACAGTAGTCAAATAGATTAGACTCCTAGACCAGAAGATCGAAAATTACCCTTAACTACTAAGCAATTAGGTCTAATTTATGTGTTACCATGAGCATCTGCAGCAGACAGGTGATGTAGGCGGGCAGACGCGCGCAGAGGCGGCGCGCGGCGAGCACGTGCGCGACGTGCGCGGCCAGGGCGCACGCGCCCGCGCACCGCGCCGCCGCCGCGCCCTCGCGCCGGCACACGCGCACCACTATGTTCAGCACGTGCTCCTGTTGCAACAAACATCATTTTATATATAGAAATGGAACTATAATGTGAAAATTACTTTATTAAAATAAATTATTAATTGAAATTTTTAAAAACAAATTCTACAAATTCATAGGCGACGTTTTCAGTACTCAATTATGTTTCACATACTGAAAAAAAAACTTAAGCAATTCAGCAGCAGATCATTGCGAATATTTATGTGGCAGTTGCGAGAATGTATAACATAATTAAAAAATCTGTATCACATTTTTTGGTGTACTTTACATATGGTAGGGGCGCTAGAAATAGATGAGGTAAGGAAACGATCTTACGTATATTCGTGATAAGTTCTCGGTTCCTAACAAAATATCCTACTTCCCGACGTGATTTATCAAATATCACTTTTGGTGGCTCAAAATGCACTTGCGCGTGCGCAGTGCGGTTTCTCTTACATTCTAAACGCCTCAAATATTTTCCTAGGCACCAAGTTTTTATTTCCCTTCCGTAAATTACCTTGAGATCAGGACAGGAGACGGTGTTGTACTGGTGCGGGTAGGGCTGCAGCATGGGCGCGGACATCAGCTCGTCGGGCAGCGCCAGCAGCGAGCCCAGGAACGTCACCGCAGCAGTGCGCGGACACTGTTATTGTTGGCGACGTAATTGCTATGCCTACTCGCTGTTACACGTGCCGCCCTTGAATGCACCTCGCGGCACGTGTAACCTCGGATGACCGCGGCCGCCCTGTCGTCGCGCGCCGCCGAAGGGCGGCATCCTTTGATGTTTCTTTGGCAGCGCGCGGCGAAGGACGCGGTCTCTTTGATTTAACAACAACTAATAAAATCATGGCACGAGGCAGCAGTTATTGAGGTCGCGGCAAAATATAAATAGACAATTTTTAACTTATTTGATGTCCAGTATCTTGGTAGCAATAAAGGCGTCAGTATCTCCGAGAAGAAGTTTTTATTTTATCATACAGTCCACTACAGTTATATTGCAACTATTAATATCTTTACAATCGCTTTTCTTGTGAAACTTAATATATTTCTAAACACAAATAATTACTTTGGTAGAAATAACTAAAAACAGTTAATGATTAATAATTAACTATACCAAGTTTTTCAGATAGAGCTGTTGAATATCTTATACTAGTATTATGAAGAGGAAAGATTTAAAATTTGTGTGTATTGAAATAACTCAAAATCTATTGAAGCGGTTACAAAAATATTTTGCAATTAAAAAACTACGTTATCAATGCATAACATAGGCAATAAGGCGAAGTCATATACCACAGCTAGTAAAAGATAAAGAATACCACACCAAACATGATTTTTTTCTTAAAGTATTCAATGTCTACGACTTTAAAACTTCTTTTAGTCGAATTTCATAAAAAAGATGAACATTTTTAAAGTAAAATTTACCTCTTGTAGTGATAACTTACAGATGGTCCCATATCAGAGGAGTTAAGTACAACAGTGGAGGCGTGCACAAAGTCGAGCAGCAGCAGGGAGTAGCCGTCCAGCGCCAGCGAGAGGTAGCGCGGCGCCGCGTGCTCCACCAGCACGTCGACCACGGACCGGTCCTCGCCCGTCAGACCTGCACACACTCACTGTTACCGCACACTAAACACTCCCTTAGTGTACATATCTCACACAAAGGTTCACTCTTAACCGCCATTTACTGTGAGTTGGCCATTGAGACCATGGTCCGTGATCGCAAATCACCTAATGTGTGGAAAAAAGCCAAGACTACAGAAGTATTGGCTAGCATAATATAATCTACATATATACTAATATTATAAAGAGGGAAGATTTGTATTTTCTTATGTATTCGATTCACGCAAAAACTACTAGACCGATTTCAAAAAATTCTTTCATCATTATAAAGTTAAGTTATCAGTGGGTTACATAGGCTATATTTTTTATTATTTTTATATTTACTCGTATAAAGTCGCAAGCAACAGCTAGAAGTTTATAATAATAATAAACTGCAGCGTTAGTATACCATAAGTCACATATTTAAATTTATGTATTTAAATGTATTCCGTATAGATCATGTTTGGTCAGCAGTTAAGACGAAATATAAAGTGATACATCACCAATAAATGAGTGTTTTTAATCAGGGATACTAAATGAATAGGGGTAGAAATATACCATGATGTAGTGCGCGTTGGTAGAGATGCAGGTGTGCGAGATGCAGGCGGTTGTTGCAGGAGGAGGGCGCGCCCGGGCCCTGCGCCTGCGTCGACTCGCAGAGCAGCCGCAGCGCCAGCAACTTGCCCGCTCTAACACACAAGCAATAATTTGTTAACTAAAAAACAATGTACGAACATTATTCAAGGCTTATGATTCGAATGGAATACGAATCAAGGAGTACAATATTCAATATCGATCAGACAAGAAGCATTTAGCCCATTAGAAAAGCATACAAAATATGAAGTTATGTGGCAAGTAGAATCCTTCAATCATTTGCTATCGCAAATTATTTTAAACCAAAAATACTAACAACAAATCAATAGAAAATCACACAAGTTTAAAAAAAAACTCAACATTTTAATTGATTAAAAATTAAAATACAATAGATGAAAATAAAATTTTTTTACTAACCTGTGCGTAGGCGGCAGGGCTTCCGCTTCCAGACACCATCCCGCCACCAAGTTGAACGGCACGTGAATCTCCGTATTGCCATTTAAAGTCTGGTTTGCGCTTATCTGTTTAACAAACACGTTTATTTCTCAACTATTAAAGAGGAGGAATATGCTATCTATTTTACACTTTGATTTCTCAAAACTTCTTTAAATACCCCTTGCTTTAATGTTGTTTACACACAACAAACTGTACATATTTTTATGACAAAAATGAACACAACAATTTTATAAAAACGACACCTTTTCGCTCATTTTTTCCTTATTCACAGTAATCTTGTTCACAATAAAATAATCAAGTAATTTTTTAAACACCGTACCGCACATTTCTTTTACCAGCTCAGTATTCTATAACGTATAATGTTGAAATTATTATTGTCAAGATATAAATAATATTACTCACTATTAAAAACTAAATATTTGAATATAAATTGTAATTATAAACTTTGAAACATTGCATCGATTATTACAAATAATAATTGCACAACAATAATAATTCCATCTAGAATATAAAACAATGAATATAAACAATAAAATTCTTAATAAAATTGTAGTAAACCACGTATAGTTAACAATAGACTGACGTAGTCTTAACTAGTTTAAAACGACTTAAATTTGCTGACACCCTCAAAAACAAACTTAAAATAAAACGAACAACAAAAAGAATAACCTCTTTCTTTCTTATCCTCCTTAGAAGCCTTCTTTTTCCTGCTTTTCTTTCGCATTGGCAGTCTTTAAATAATCTTGTATTAGACAACAGTTCGCACAATCTTAGTAACACCATAAACGGAACTTACGCGGTTGTAATAAACTAAACAGTATTAATTCGAATGAAAACAAAGGTACAAAAAACATGTTTTGTGATAAATAGGATAATATTACACACATCTGTCGAAGTCTCTGATATCGAATGATAAATGACGCGTAAAATGTCCATATTTGTGATAAAAATTAACAGATGCCCATACTAGATGATTTTATTGCGTGCGCGCAGATCTAACGGTCGAGTTGTTTATTTACACATCAATTTGTAGGGAGACGAACTCGAATTCGTGCATATTTAATTAGTACGTAATTCTTTTAGAAATACTAAATTTACTCTAAAATCTCTTATTTCATATTTTTTACACATTTTTTTCATTTATCACACACGAAAACACAAATTCGATCATTTAATACCATATTCGGGAGTAATAGTAACTTCAGAGCATCAGTGGCTCAGGGGTTTAAGCACGTGACTTGTAATCTACAGATCTTGGGTTCGAATCCCGCCATGTATCAATGTGTATTTCGATTTTCGAATTTCGTATGTACATAATTTACCCGGCATTCTTACAGTAAAAGAAAACATCGTGATGCAACCTGCACATATCGGCGAAGAAATTCGAAGATTCATATGTGTGAAGTCAACCAACCCGCAATTTGTTTTAAATTTGAACACAACAGCACAATCAAGGTTTTTCCAGAGCTTGCATTATTTGTAGCTTAGTTATGATTTAACATTTTTATTAGACTTTTACTCAACAGATTAGGATGGTAATAACGATGTCGTAAAGCCAAAATGTAAAATGTATTAGTGTAAGTGACATACCTTAAGCAGTGTCGAGTTAAGATGTATCAGGTAGTTGTAGAAGTGCGCGTGCGCATGCGGGTCGCGCAGGTGGTTGGGGTCGCCGAGCGCGGCCAGCATGCGCCGCCACAGCACCGCCGCCACCGCCGGCAGCCAGCCGCGCGCCGCCCCGCCCAGCACCACGCCCACGCCCGCCCCGCCCTCCGCGCACGACGCCGCCCCATCCGACTCGGCCCACTCTGATTACCCAAAATAGACATAAATAAATCTAACGGCTGTTAATAATAGTCAACGGGCAGCGATCACTTCGATATTTTGGCGAATTCCGGTGACCGGTCGCTCGTTTGTCACTTTATACTATAAAAAAATAGCTTTCGCCCGCGACTATGTCCGAGCGGAATAAAAAAAAGCAAATAGCCTATATGTTTTACAGACTAGCCCCTACCATCTTCATCAAGATCCTTTTAGCCGTTTAAGCTACAAACTCTAACAATCATCCATGCATCTATGTAAACTTTCGCATTTATAATATTAGTAAGATGTAAAAACGTACAAATGTACTTAAATAACAAAATATATACTAACCAACATTACCACCATCCGAAGCTAAATCGATCTGTAGAGGCGAATCCTTAATAGAACTGCTCTCAACTCCGCTAGATGGCGCCGGCGAGGGTGAACGAGATCCTAAAAATGTCAATAAACAAATAGACAAGTATTATCTAAGTAAAAGTAAGTTAGGTGAAAAATATTTAACTAACCACTGGCAGAATCCCTCTCCTCCTGTTGCGACGACTGCCTCAATGAATCCAACGAGTACCATCTCCTTGGTTTAGTGCTGACTTGCTCTTTGGTTTCTTCCACTGATAACATAAAAAACGAAGAAAATTTGCATAAAATATCTCTGTAAAATTCAATATTGCACACATATATAAAAGATAAACTCATGCATTTAAGTTATCAATATAAAACATTATGTTTAGTTTTAAAGCACGAACCTGTAACAATTTGTAGATTCTGTGCGTGCCTACTGATGTGAGGGTCGCTGCGGCAGCGCTGCAGTTGTCGCCCCCTCACCGTCTCTTTGCGTACTTGTGCGTCACTTGCAGCACGCACTGATTTGCCTAAAACACACAGAAATATATACAAAATCAGTTCTAAATTTTCGAAAACAAATTTTCAGATACACTGTTATAGGTTTATTAATAATGTGTACCAGGTGTTCTTAGATCTGGCGGCGCCAGTGCAGGGCGTGCGCGTGGCGCGGGGCGGGGCAGCGGCGCGGGCGCAGGCGTAGGGCGCCGCCCCCCGCGGCCACGCACTTCGCCCCCGCACGCCGCGCCCGCGCTCTCCGACAGCTCCAGCGAGTAAACATGCCGCGCTAATACTCGGGTCAACGTTTCCATTGTTTTCTATAGAGAAAAAAAAAATTATACATGAATCGGTGCTCTCATATTGGAGTTAATTGTAACGCTTTAGTTGTTCTTACCGCCCATTCTTTAATCAAGTCTTCCCAGTGTGTCAGTCTTGTCAATAATTCCATAAAACTTTGCCACAGTTCAGGTTTCACTGCGACATTTAAATTAGCTTTGATCCATGTCACAATTAATGTTTGGAAGAGCGCCGACGCTAGAAATCCACCTGGTAGAAAAATTAAGATAATAAAAAAACAAAATTCTATCCTTAAATATAAAAAGCTGATATGGTTTTACACTTACCAAGCGTTTCTTGTTTTCTCTTAGGTACTAATTTAGTTAACACCAAAGATGTAATTTGGAGCAATACTAAAAGTAATTGTTCCCTGAAACAAAAAATCGATTCTTACTAGGTCTTCAAAATTTGTACATGCGAATACTTAGTGCAGATTTGTCACCAGGTACTAGCGTCCATAGCGACGTGCATGACCATGTAGCGGTATATGTTGAGGACGCGCTTGCACGTGTCCGTCTGCTCCTGCAGCAGCTGCTGGTGGCCGAGCGCGCCGGCCGCCGCCACCGGCGACGACCCCACGAACACGTTCGCCGCTTGCGTCATGAACACTTGCAGCACATTCTTTATACGAAAATATATTATGATATATTCATAAATGGTTGAGCAAAATATTTTTGCAGGTCATTTAAAAAGTAGTTAAGTATCCGATTAATTTTCTTTTATAAAACTTCTGAGACGAATTGAATGATACAAGCGAAAAACATGACCCTATTGTCATTTGATAAGAAAATAGTTACAAAGTCTGTAAATTTTATTTTGCAAAAACCTAACTTCAATTCGTTTTGCAAAATGAATTAGCGTATGTGTACCGTTTGTTTCTGATAAGCCCCGCCCCCCGCCCTTTTACGTTATATTACGGTGTGGGCGTAGTCATGTGAAATTTTGAGCTGGAATAAGTTTGTTGGACCTGCATTCCGGCGCGCACCATGATGTCGCGGTTGACGGCGCCGAGGTAGGAGTCGTTGCGCAGACGACGGGGCGGCGCTGCGGGCTCGCCCGCCGCCAGCTGCTGCTCGTAAGTATTCTCTATCAGGAACGGTGGGATCTCTGATACCTATAACAATAAAATTGCAACATGAACAAAATAGCACTCTTATTTCTATTTTTTCAAAATAAATGAATGAGAGAACAATATCGGCAGCGAAAACAATATAGTCGTAGTATTGAACTAACGTTCATTTGTATCCAGTCCTTGTATAAACCGATGACGCGTCGCACAGCAGCGGCGTGTGAGAAGGGCAGCAGGAACGCTTGTCGTAGAACTTCTATGGTGAAGTCGACGTGCTCGCGCGAGGAGCCGCACAGCACATCGCGCACAACCTGCTCAGAGCTCAGCTCCTCGAATATACCTGAACCTACATTGTATAAAACTCTTATCATGTTTAGGAACAACTTAAAAACGAACAGATTTAATTCACAATGTTTAATTTAGTTGAAAACTGAATTTGAGACTTGAACTATCCTAGTTAAAGAAGGAAAATTTTCAGTTAAAAAAAAATACTCTTGCACAACATGATTGAAAAAAAAATGCTAGGCAGTCATAATAGCATAAAAGAACATATATTGAAAATTTTCGATAAAAATAAAAAACATATAATAGTTACATTTTTTACTTGAATTTCATGTATAGATTGATAAGATTGAATCTCATAACAATATGTTAAGATAAAATAAGCTGAATTATGTAAGTTGAATAGAAATACTTTATCTTTGCCTACAAATAGTATAAAAGCCATACAAACCTGATTCTAGACTAGGATGAGGTGTGTTAGATGCAGAGTCATGGGAAGATGCTCTACTTGAATCTGACGGTTGCCCGACAGTGAAGGAAGTCTCTTCCTCATGGTGCAAGGAAGTTGCCGGAGTAGGTGTGCCTGAATGTGGCAGATGAGATCCCGTGCTTGTCATAGATGAAGGCTGTCCAATATCGCTGCCTTGCCGCTTTATGAAGTTTGCGTAGCTTGCCACCCATTTGATTAATGTCACTCTACATATTACATAGTCATCATCTAGTATATTATGTTGAACTGGTAATTCTAGAAAAAATTAGGTCATGCCATAGATTAAAAGTATAGAATAAAATCAAAATATTCAGAAAAATTATACTGAATTTTACTTTGCCTAACAGCATATCTTACCTAAATTAGGTTTATATAGCGAATTTTTATAATTGAATTGCGGGCAAATGATAGGCAGATAGTATATTTTAAATTTTTCCAATAAAAAAGCAAAGCATCTCATAGCTTTATTGTGTGATCTGTCTCGCCAGTGTATCTTGGTAACAGAAGTTGCCATACCCTCAAGGAGAATTTCAAAAAAATATCTCGTTTCATTATCAACTGGTCTCTCATTAGTACTGGCTGGCAATAAAGGTTGAATTTCTACACTTTGAACTGGATTTAGTGCATTTGTATCATGAAAAATTGATGCTGACACATTAGCTAACTTCCCCATTATACCAGTAGATGTTTGTTCCACAACAACTTTCTTTGCATTATCAGTAGTGGAACTAAAGTTTGGATGGTGCATAATATCTTCCATTTTAAAATCGCTGGAGTCATTTGATATATTTGTAATCAAATCAAAAGGTTTCTGCTTAAACGGGGATCCCATTGAGTGTGTGGGTGACTCAGGCATGCCTGGTACCAGCATTGCAAACATCTTATGCACTTCATTAGGTGCATTATCTCCAAGTGCTTGATACCATAAAAGAAAAAACCTATAATATAAAGACAAGAATTGAAGTCACGAAAAAAATAGGGCATTGAATATGTAACATTTTGTGTTATAGCCACTAATTTAACAAATAATTTTTTTGAACTTCATCCCTATTTCAACTAACTTATGTACTTTTAAACATATATTAACAAACAGAGTTAGTGTATTACATGCAACCACACATCAATATCCACTTGCCCTTATCCCTTACGAAGGGTTGGCACACATAAAAATATAAAAACATACATACCTTATAGCTTCTGCTCTAAGTTTTTGTGAATTACCACTATGTAGGAGCTTAGAAAATATTCTTGTTAGGGAATGTAACTGCCATCTTTTCCCGAGCAGCTCTGGCAATAGGCATAACACTTTTTCTAATAGTGACAATGCTCCTTCCAATTCTTCCCTGCCAGCTTTGTGGACTATAAAATACATTTACAATTAAGTCACAAGAAGATTTTATCTAGTAAAAAGAACTATCCACAGCACATCTTTTAGTAAGCTGGTTTAAAGCATTAAGACCCATTTCATACAGCAAACTATTGCAATGGCAAATAAAAAAGTTAAAAAAAAATCAATGATTTTTTGATTTGTGGTAAGATGAACAATGATAATCAATGAACTCCAAAGTAAATTTAAGAAATTGCAGCAAATAGATATTTTAATATGTAGTAAATGAAGCACAAATAAATACGCCCAATTAAAAGCACTAAACACCAAGATGTAATTAATTTGTTTGTTAAAGTGTTTAATTATGTCTCTGTAACAGAACAACTCACCGAGATGAAACGAAAGTTCTGTGTTGCCAAAACAAAAAAGATCTTGTTATTTATTTTACTACAATTTACAAAAATATTCATTTTGTAACCACAAATATGTGTAATATAAACTAGCTTTTGCCCATGACTCCGTTTGTGTGGAATTAATAGTAAACAAAAGTGTTCTTTCAGAATTTGTTCTACATCTACGCCATTTATATCGATTGAAGTGGACAAAATTGTTACAATCTCAACTAAGTAAAGTATTTCTAAAACAATACATTTTTGCTTACCTCTTTGTCGGAGATTATTTTCTGCTAAAATAAAGTTATCATACAATATAAAATACACATGACTAAAATTGGCTTCAAAGTACGTTTTTGATTCATCAGCATCAAAATGTTCTGGAAAAAAATTAAAACTTACTATTACATACAGTACTTTTTCAACCAAGTAATATTTTATGTAAGAAGAAACATTAGTTGAAATACTTTAAGTGTTAGTAATTAAAGTGTCGTATCTTTTTCAATAGTAAACACAAGTACATGGACTAACAACTACAGTTATACACGTCTAATTAGCATGTTTAGAATGATACGTCAGTGTCTTTGAAAAACTATGAAAAGGTAATCAATTTATACAAATGTATAGATAAAAGTAAGGTAAAATAATAGTCTAATTATTTATTTACCTAATACGATTTTAAGGTGCTTCAATCGCGTTGTCGAATCCTTCTTGGAATCCTGTATTTTAACGGTGGATTTTTTGACATCTTGATGTGATTTTTTAGTAAACATTTCGTTGATGGTATTAAATGCCTGCGCTGTGGTATTTTCTCATTCTTATTGAGATTTATAACGTTTTTTTACATTGTTTTTCGGACTTCTCAATACACTAATCACTCATCTGGGATTTGAGTTTTCACTCGCAAAAGTCAAAATTTCTAAGTTGACGTAAGCCGTATAGAGTTTTTTGTGACAAAAGTATGAGGTGTACAGCCACAGGTACAGTAAATGATTTGATTCAATGTGATGTATTTTTTTAAAAAGCTTTTATTAAAAACATTAGTTTAAGTTAACTAGGTACTAATATATTAAGTAATTGTGCAATATACATTTTTTAATTGAGGAACATGTCAAAAACCTCTACACCGTAGGTTTACACTGCGTAATAAAATAAGTGTCGAGTTGTATAGGTTGAAGCCGCAGTGAAGTAGTATTTTTGTAAGTGTTCATACATATCTTCGTATGCACAGTCGCGGTTGTTGATATGGACCGACCCTTACTGTAGTAAAAATGCTAGTAGAGTGAACTGACCGTATATCCTCTGCCGTAAAACTTGTGTTGGCAATGCATTCACCTAATAAACTTAACTTACTGCGACTTGATTTTACGGCAGTGTAATACAACGGTTAGTAAGTCTGATATCCACAGGAATATTTTTAAATTCAATAGTTGTTAGTACTACAAAATGATTTTTACCCACCACAATGTGATTCTCGTGCATTATTATGGATAATTAAATACGATTTATCGACCTCCGTTTGAGACATCACCTACAGTGGATCTATTTCTGATGCAAGTGTTGGTTTTTATTCACAACAGCCAGAAAATATTACATTATTGCAAATCGAGTACGGGGAATAATCCCTCGGTCGATGACTCACGCTACAACTACATTTAGGTTTAGGATTTCCCCCGCTATCATTTTTAAATAATGTTTGAATTCTAATTTTAATCTCATTTATTCTTACTCAAAGTGATAGTTAGCAAATTGTTATGATTGTATATTGGTGTAATATTTAAATGCAAGCTATTAAATATATCATGTAACTTGTTTTATTTTTTGATTTTAACAGGACCTAGAAATAACTGGGTAAACTGAAATGTTTGTGAAGATTCTATCACCGTTGTTGCTTTTTAATACAAAACTTTAGGACAAACGATATAAGATGTAACTAAAACATTGAACTTTAGACTTTATTGAGCAGCAAATAAGCGCGCACACGCCGATACAAGAGAGATAAGTTAAGTTGTTTACATTTACAAAGATATTTTATAAAAGTTAATCGCAAATCAGCAGACCGCAGTCGTTCACACGATCTTCAATTATACAGCCGTATATTTTTGCACGAATAAATCTAGTCAGTTTTATTTATTTAAATAATTATATTTTTGCACCAAAAAACTGTGCTGTGATTTTAGTTACTTTATAATCTTATTCCATTAACATGTGTTCGTATATTTTTACGTTAATATGTTTAGTGATGTTCGTAAACGTAGCATTAGGACAAGGAATGCCTAAAGGTGCTATAGGATTTCCTGAGATCGAGGAAAATCCAAAAGTTTCAAATAAACAGGTTGGTTGTTGTATAAAAAATTGGCGTATTAACGCGTTTCTGACACGTGCTACGGTATAACTTGAATATGATTAATTCAAGTTTTTTTTTTTGGATAGCACGTTTGTATGTATTGTAATATGGACTTCCTTATCTAGGCATCCAGCAATACTTGACCGAGCAATTAAGTCATTTATTTTCTATAGAAGATGAAACGTTTGTGATTGTTATATCAAAGTGTTGGATAATTCAGCTTCAGCATGTATTATTTTCACTGTATGCTGCTTATTGTCTTAGTAATTACGTAGTTACTGTTGTTTATTTTTTTGTTGTATCGGTATTGTAAGTCGTCTATTAATTAACTTCTTGCAGTATACACTATGTTTTTCTATCTTTATTTCTTATACTTTAACTTTCTCTATTATTCTTTACTATGACTTTCTCATTTATTTCCTCTACCAATGTTATTTTGTACCTAGTACATAACTTTTTCCGCCGGTAAGCAGAAGTAACGGAACATTGTAAGTTCCGGTTAGAAGGGCAACATAGGATATTGACATTAATGGACCAGAGAGGCTTCTTCTTAGATTTTTTTGCATGTTTTATATTAACTATCTTCTTGGTAACCACACGATGTAAAAATACACGTAATATTTCTCTCCATATACGAGATTCAAGAATCTTAAATACTCTTTGATAAGAGTTTATTAATCTTTTTTTTTCTGAGTAAGTAAAGACAAATTGCGTGAAATTGGGAGTTAAAAAGTATGAGCGAGAAGTGTTCAACTATACTAATGTTGTAAAGAGAAAATATTGTATTTTTGACCGACTTCCCAAAAGAAGGAGGTACTAAAGTCGTCTGTATGTTTTTTTTGTGTGTTACGGCATAACTACGCCGCTAGTGGACCGATTTTGATTATTCTTTTTTTTGTATTTATTTTTTTAGTTTTTCAATTTCACAAGGACGTAGTCGCGAGCAACAGCTAGTACACTACATTCTCTCTACTTATCTTACAGTATCTGTATTTAATTGGGCTTATCCTATATTAAAACAAACTTTATATAGTTATACATCTGTTTGTTTAGTTGCACAAGGCCAAGTATGTTTTCATTGTATTATTGTAGGTATTTCAGTTAACACAGATTGTAGAGTGCTTTTGAAATACAAATTAAAGTAGGTTATGTGTCTTAATCCATTCATATGGACCTGATTATCAATAATAAAACAAAATGAATAATAGAAAATAAAAGTTAGTTTTTGTATGATTGTTTCTATTTGTTTTACAGGATCGACAACCAGTATATCTTCCATCGGTGTGTCCAGAAAACGAGCTGTATTATCCAGGTGATCACAATACTGACTGGATCTGCGACTGTCGGCCAGGTAAACACATTTATTCATCATCATCATATTACTGTAAATGCCCAATGAGGAGGTCGGAGCCAAACACATTTATTACTTCAGAAACATTACCGTGAAGTTCGTCGGTAGCTCAGTGGTTCGAGCACTTGACTTGTAATCTACAGGTCTTGCGAAGAAATTCAAAGTTATGTGTGAAGTCAGCGAACCCGCACTTGGCCAGCGTGGTTGACTATGGCCTAGTCATCCTAACTTAGTGTAGGCTCCGAGCTCCTCAGCAGTAGGACGTATAGTGAGCTGGTATTGTTGATGAACATCATTGTAACTTAACTTTTCCGATGATGGTCTCAGAGCTAGGAGGGTTAGCCATGGACAGATTAAGTCATGGACGATATTATTGTTAAATCATAAATATTTGACGAAAATTAATGTGTATTTACTTATGTTTAGCGCTGTTTCAGACCTTTATATTCAAGAAGCAAACGCGAAAAGGTTTTTTCGATAAGCTTTTACCAAGTACTTTGCCGATTTTAAAATAATATCGTAACTAAAGTTATTTAATACAAGTACATACATATTGAACTATTGATTTAATTATAAATAGAAATTAATTAAGACGAATTAATTAACTAATTATAAGAATTAACTAATAAGTCTACACTTGTATGAAAATAAGTTAATATAAATAAAGTAACAAGCACTAGTAGGACGCGTTTAACTTGTCACCTGCGCCATGATTTCTTTTATAACATAATAACGTTACATTTTCTTTACAGGTTACTTATACCATCCGAAAACGGACAAATGCTGGCTCGCCTACCAGCGTGGGCCGTGTCCTCAAGGACAGTACTTAGTCCTACCAAAGTCTACCGTCTTACCTATATGTGAAAACAATCCTTGTATAAATGACGACTCAGTTATGTTCAATGGGAACTGTACCACCTTAGGTGCTATGATCCCTTGTGGTTTATCGTATCCTTCAAAAGTTGTATGGATAAACGCGGCGACAACTAAAGTAGATTGTGTAAAAGTTTACGTAGAAAATAGATTTTCCTCGAACGACGAAGAAATGTTTGCACTTTGTCCTCCTGGCTGTAAAAGAAGCATTAACTTACAATGTACGCCTGATATTAGGAGATAGTTAAAATGTAGTATTGCTAAATATTAATTATTTGTATACGTTGTATTTGTTTATTAAACAAAAGAAACAATTGAAAATCAACTTCTTTTCATTACCTTCTACTTGACTTGAGTATCCTGATGTTACATAATTATTGTCGCTTGGTAAAGAAAGGTTCTTAATGATGAAAACAAACTTAGAACGATGCTACAGTGGTGTTGTAACCATACAATAGTGCCTGTATCTAGTTTTACGCCACTAATTAGGTGTATCTAAAAAACTATTTGCTCGAAGTGTATAATCTAAACAACAACATAAAAGTCCTGGGCTTTCTAACAGGTGTAAAGAAATTAGTTTTACCCTTTTCCGCAAAAAGGCGAAGGTTTTTATATGACGAATATTAGTTATTTTTAATGATTCACATATATATTAAGTATTCAATGCTATGTAACACTCGTTACTAGAAGCCTGGTCACATTATGACCTTATTTATATTTTATATTCGCAATCAACAATTGTTTCTTTAATCTGTGGCAATAAATAGCGTCATGTTCGCGTCACCATGGCAACCCACCCTCCTGAACAGCCACAATAGGATTTATCAAGATGTTAGTTGTATCTTGTATTTGTAAACACATATGTTCAATTTTTTTGTAGTGTTTTTATATTACGATTTTCTATAAACAACTTTACAAATTAACTTTTTAATAACTTTTTTCATTAACAATGTGTCAAGTCAAGAAGTGTCAAATATTATTCAAGTTTCAAAGGAATAAGCCATAAGACTGTAAACAAAAGAAGTAAGTTGAAGATATATTTATTTAATTCGATTATGACAGTTACGCTTACTCCATTTTCAATTTTCCGGCAAATTACAAACTACCGTAGATAATTTCATGTTAACTGAATTCAAAAATAAATTGTATTGCAAATAATAATTACGTATCAAGTAGATTGCAATATTAATTTTCTGATAGCAGATATCTTGGCAAACTGTTTGTATATAAGATTTTAACAACGTTGACCTGGTAAGCGAGTCTGATCGTTTAATTTCCATGGAAGGGCAAACAGGGGGCGAGCTGGGCATTATCGCTATTAATCTTTGACCCACTTCGACCATCGACTGACCATCAGTGTACCCTGCGCTGATTAGTTAATGAATCCCCGACGACCTTCGGGGCTTGAAATAGTTTTCTCCGCTTGACATATTTCTTATAGACGTTAATTTTCCCATTTTCTGTAATAAAGATCGTTCGATAGCTCGCTACGGTTTTTATACGTATAATTTTGTAACGAAGGTAAATTTCCACCAACCCGCACTTGGCTCGTGTGGTTGACTATGGCCTAGTCACCGTAACTTGGAGTAGGCTTCGAGCCCCTCGGTGAGGACGTAAAGTAAGCTGGTGATGAGGTTAATTCTTTTCTTTCATCTTGTGTTAAGTGTCGCTATTTTATCACATTTACTGCCACCGCATTATATGAGTCTGGGAGTTTGAATAAGTTAATATTTAAAAAAAACAGTGCATAAAACGTGATACTATTATCCGCCATACTTCGTGTACTCCATACTTGCACCATTTTGAAGCGTAGTTTACTACTTTTATTGTTTTATCTTTTTACTTTCGCGTTATTGTTTATTTGACTTAAATGTAACACCCCATTTTCATCAAAGTCAGTTTATTCATTAACTATACAATTAGCAGGGACTAAAGCTGTTGTTCGTATAATACGAGTATATCGAAATGATCTCGGAAATACCGTGACCTCACAGAACTGTGATATTGTTTCTCCACGTCATTGCTCTGCGTAAATGGTTAATTGATGGAATTTCCCTTTGATCGTAACCAAAACGTATGCAAACGTTTATAACGAAAATAAATTTCTGCAAAACGCAAATGTCCTAAATACTAATATCCTACAAATGAATATCATAATGTTATAGACATTTCTTGATCTGTTTTCATTAAATTAGAATTCCGATTTAAAGTTATTGTAACCTTAAAGATAACCCACGGGCTTTGGAAATACGACTATTGTTGTTACATATTTTTAATTTGTAATTTATACAATTTTATTTTATCAAAGCGTCGTCACCTAGTCACGTAGAAATTTTTTTTCAAGGAAGAAAACTCATTGAAAGTTTTATCTATCTGTTGATAGATTTGCTTTTTTAAGCGTAACTATTTATTTCTAATCTATTTATCGCATTTTAGGATAAGTTTGGCGAAAAGAGACCATGACAAATTAATGTGATTCGATGCTTTTAAGACTTGGTAGTAGACTCATATTGATTTTTATTTTGTTTTAAAAGTAATATGTACGTTATGAATAATAATAAACTAGTTAGTTATATTTTTCTTGCTAGAAATGTACGTGTTATATACGTTACGTTGTAATTATATTTCTTAAATAAGATTTATTTCTGTTACATAAAACATATTAGCATGCGCAATAAAGAAATATTATGGTTTCAATAGCTGTAAGCTGCTGAAATCGAGGGAACTAGGTCAGCTTCGCTGTAGATCTAAGGGGTAACGTTGATTAGTATAATAACATGATTTTTTACAAGTAGGTCAATGCGTAAAGAATATTACAAAAAAAATACACAGGCAAATTAAGAACCTCCTTTTATGTCAGCTGAAAATTTTTTTTAATACATCCCGGTGTCTAAGGGCAGTGCTCTCTTCGCAATTTAGCGAATTCGGTAGACACTTGCATGTTTCTTACCTTATACAACGCTAAAATGTCAAGAAATTAAAGAATAGTCAGTTTATTTATATTAATTGTTAGTTAACTAGTCTGTCTAATTAACTGACAGTTCGAAGTTTATGTTACTTACACTAAATGTTTTCTCAAGTGTATGTAGTTACTTAGTTATAAAATAAAGAAGTTTTGTTCTGTTAACGTCTTAATATCTCTACATTGAGTGTGATGTCAGATGGACCGATTTAGGAGGGGGATAGTTAGCTTCTTCAAATCAATAATTAAATTTATCTTATTTAATAATATGAGTACGAAATAAAAATTGTCCGAAAACATGCAAATAACCCTATAAGGAAACTTGCTTTAAATCGGAAATTAAAACTAAAATCTTTTCCTGTACTGTGGTTATAGTTACGGCTGAGTGCAGTTGCAGGTCAGGGTTTTCCACGGGACTTTTTATTGTTATATTAAAATGTATTGAATAATAATAACTAAGCAGCATAAATATGTAACACTTATATAAAAAAATCCCAGTGAAACGTGCTCAAAAGGATTTACCTTTGTTTTACTTAATTTACATAAAATACAAAAAAGTGCGCATTTATAATGTTATTAAAGTGTAAGTTATTGGTGTAACATAAGTTACTATTGAGTAACTATATGTATTATATTACTATTAAGTGATGATGTAGAAGTCTTATGTTAATTTTGATTGGGCTCTCTAAAGCCAGCTACACACGTTCATATAAACCGCACAGTTTCAACCGAATAGTCAAACTATACAGTAATCGTCGTGTTCAGGGTGACCATTTCGCGAAGCGGTGGCGTGCCGAGCTTACGTCACGTTTCGTCGCCGAAACGCGATAACGTGAACTATGCCAGTAGCTCTCTCCAACGTCGGCCACGCCGCCCGCTACGCCGCCCTCTACGCCGCCCGCCTAATAACCCTAATCGTCTACAGCACCTTCTAATCAAACTTCATCCCCTTAACCTTCAAAGTCTCCTTGTGCTTCGGTAATCACTAAAGTTTGCAAGTTACAGAGACTGAAATATGCTCTTTAAATATTTTGACATTTCAACACACGGATAATTATGTATTGTCGCAGTAGGTCACTTATCAGAAAGGAATCGATAGATAATTATAAATAACGTATGTTTGTCACTTTTAAACGTTTATAATTCCTGAAGAGATTAATAATAGGTCAAATATGTCTGATATGACACTGCACAATAGCAGCAAAACAATTACTTTACATGTATACGAAAGGAAACTGGTTCAATGCCACCGATTTACTGAATAGATAGTGCCAGTGAATAGTGAAGCCTTTTTGAAAGTTCGAATGTAAGAATTTATAAGATGGTGACCTGATTTAACGTGCGAAGTGATTCGTGAGGGCATTGCGTGGCCCCTCCGCCCAACGCCACCTTTGTCCGGTGGCGGGCAGCGGGCAGTCGTGGCGCTTACGAGACTCGGGCCAGTCTGAGGCACGCGCCCTCCGTGCCCGCTCGCCCTCGCGCCGCTCTCTCCCTATCCCTCACCGACACATGGCACGCACACCTTAGCCCCGTTGTTATGGAAAAGCGCGGCGCCAGCGGCCGCAGCGAGCCTATACCCAGCATACTTAAGAAACCGAAACCGCCTCGTGGCGATCTTGTGGACAAAAGTACGAAGATCAAACGAGAGAAGACCAGCTCGAGGAAGTATGGAGATGTGAGTCATTCGTTGGCTCACGGCTGCACGCCGCTTATGTACGCTTGTCAGCAAGCCGACTATAGGAGCGTCGTTGACTTCCTTAATAAGGACGTAAGTGGACCATTGTAAAATTAAATAAAGGAATGTAACTGGTTATTCGAACTCAACAATACAACTTTTTATTAACCTATTTTTTAATCTGTTATTTTATCTTTCCACAATTTAAAAAGTTAACAAACTGATCCTTTAACGTTAAATTACACTGAAATATTCCTAACCACGTTTAATCAGACACGTCAGACCAATAAAATAAATTGTTCGTTACGTGTTTTACAACCAGCACGTATTTGTTTTTAAAATTAAAGCCGCGTTGTGGCGGTGTGGTTATGTGAAATGCAAAACAATGTTTTGAGTGCATCAGTACGTCACGCGATGTTATGCGCCGCACGAGCGGGCAGCCGTGCAGACAACCAGGCGGGTAGGCGAGAAGGGCAGCCATATCGCCTTGTAAACAGCCTGTCAAAATCACAACTCGTTTACATTTTTTTTTTAGTTGAAATGAGCGCTCTAAAACCTCTCAATTTTATAAACACGGATTCATATATTTGGTTCCGAATCAATGTAAATATTAAAAGAGCAAGAAAGTAGATGGAGTAAGTACTGTTTAAAGTTATTCACAATTCGACAAATCAATAATAAGGTTTGGTTGAATTCTAATTCTAAGATTTGTTAGGATTGTATCCTCTTAGATAGATGACAAAGTTAATATGAAAATCATTAAATACTATATAATTTAACATAAGTATGCTTAGAAAGTATTTTAGGAAATATATCAAACTGGTGGCGGATACTCATATGTTTTGGGTGTGTAAATATTTAATTATATCATGGTTTACAAAACGGTTACTGGCTACATGAGGGTAGTTAGAATGATTTCGCCATGTAATCATTGCATTGTAATTTGCCTTTTACATTCAGCCATCATCAGCGCGTGTGCGTGATCGCGCGCAGCGGTGTGCGCTGCACTACTGTGCGGCGAGCGGGGCGGCGCGCGCGGCTGCACGTGCAGCGTGCGCGGATCGCGTGCTGATGGCGGCGCCGGCGCTGGCAGACGCTCGCGACGCAGACGGCCTCACGCCACTGCACCTCGCCGTGGTGCATGGAAACGTACCCCTCGTGCAGACCCTGCTGGCTGCTGGCGCTGACGTTAACGCGAGAGACAACGAGCAACATACCGTCGTGCATTGGGCAACTGGTCAGTGACATGCACCGAAAATACTTCATCTATTGATCCTACAAAAAAGCAATTTGTTAATTTATAGATTAGAGACTTGAGAGGTTAGAACCACAACAATTAATTTAAAAGCTTTACGAAATTAAGTAAATATGTGAAGTCGTTTGTAAGAAGTTGTAACTTGTAAAGTTTGTTGTTAGTGTTTCGTGAATCGATGTCATTGATTAGATCTGGTGCGAGTCACGCAAGGTCATTGTTGCTCGATTGTAAGTAATTTCTTTGTCATTATATCATTACTTAAAATATAATTAAACGTAAGTTTGGCCAAGACTCCCTTGTCATATGTTGTTTTGAGAAGGACGCCCATAATAAAATTAGTCATTATAAACCAAGTTTAAAAAGTATCTAGCGGTATTGATGCTTGTTTGATGATTGTTTCGGCTACTAGACGGATGACTAGCCAAACTATAATAGCACAAATTCCAACCTCGGCAACCCTACTTCCTTGATGTTGGCAGCTTGTAGGTTATGGTCTCTTTCCCACATGATAGTTTTTTCCAACTTATTGTCTCCCTAAGTTTAATAGCGTGAAAATATATACTTACCTTAAAGCGTGTCGTAAGTGTAAAGTGCGTCTATTTATTAAAGAAAGAGTTATTCAAAACTATGCTGTGACTGCTGCCATCCTACGCCACGAAGTAGCTAGCTATCAGATGAGTTTGTAAGTCAAAAGTGAACCGTGTGGTGGCGTGGCTGTCAATTGCAGTGAGTTGTTACAGGGCTGGAGTCATTGTGGTGACACTCGGTGACACCTCACCATAACACCTTAATCGACTTCTTCGCACGCCATCCATTACTTATCAAAGCTGTCTTGTTCTGTGTGATGTGTATGGGAATGTAAACAATGATAGCTGGTTAGATTATCGTTTTAATATTTACAACCGATATTATTTTTATTGATTTATTTACAAACGAGATTTTAGCGAAGTATTGAAGTTAATATGCATAACACCGAAATTGAACCCAAATATTACTGTTATACAATACAATATTTGTTACTAACTAATTAAATATGCAGAAATAAAGATTCGGCATTTTGTTCTTTATTGTATTAATTTCGATTTCATATGAATGTTGAAGTAATAAATAAAATACAATTAATCATGACTCACAAAACAGGTGGAGCAACATAGCATTAAAGAACAAAATTTACCGAAACAAGTTTTTTGGAGTTTGTTGATTCGAAGCAAATTGTATAATAATTGCGGTTGCCGCTGTCGGACTGCGGGTTTGGACACTGATGGGGGACAGGGTACTCCCCTTTCCCCCCACTAGGGGTTGTCCGGTTTCTGGTGGTATTGAGCGGTGCACAAGGTCAGGCCCTTGACCTGCCTCCGTCAGTCTAGGACTAAACATTATAACGCCATAAATTTGAAAAGGTCACGACGTATCACATTCGAGCAATCAGTGTTTGTTGGACATTTGTAAAGGCTTTAATTCGACTTTATTTTCGGCCTTTACTTGTCGCTTGAGTCATGTTTGATTAATAAATTGCTAATTGACACGCAATATTATTTTATAAAACGTGTTAATATGTATATTAACTACATTTATAAGTAGGAGTTATACTCAAAAAACATATAACCTTTTTATGTTGTGCACATAACCTTTAACCTTTTCTATTTCTTGTGACGATTTCCTATACGACAAAATCCTATAGTTATTTTTAAACTGCTGAAAAGTAATATCGCCACATTAGAATGTTCATTGTTTCATATCGTAATGGAATTTGTATAAATTATAATCTAAGATTATTAGTTAGTTATAAACTATGTTTTTGTTTATACGTAGTATTTATTTATGTTACATGTATATGATAGTGTGCGGCGAGGTAGGAGCGTTGCGCGCAGTGCTGGCGGCGGGCGCGGACTCGGCCACGCCGGACCAGCACGGTGGCTACCCGCTGCACTACGCCGCGCAGATGTGCGGCGCGCCCGCTGCCACAGATCACCAGGTTAATTAGTATCTAATGTAAGGTTACCAGAAGTCGATTATGATAAAAGCGCTGGCGATACTAGTAGGGCATTTTTCATGTGTAATACCAGGGATAATTTTTCTATACAAATTGTATTCTCCAGCCTCGGGTGGTGGTTTTAACCTTCGGTAAAAACGTATGGATCGGGAATTCTCAAGTAAATACAGAGAGGTCGAGGAACTTCATTAGATAACGTCGAGTAATCACGAACATATAGAACAAGTTTGATATTAAAAAAATGATGATATGAATTAAGGGGATTTATGAAGACGTCAATGAAATATTACATACTCTATTTCTATACAATAACAAGATCGATTGCCTGTTTATAATTCTTGGTTTGTTTTTCGTTTACCCATTGTAGTTTCTTCAATAAATAATCGTTGTGGTTTGCTAAGTAGAGCCGTGGCGCTGCGCTGGAAGTGTTACGTGCGCTGGTGCGCGAGGGCGGCGCCAGCGTGGCTGTGCGCGACGCGGACGGGCGCACACCGCTACTGTGGGCCGCCTCTGCCGGCTCGGCCGCAGCGGTGCTCGCGCTGCACCAGGCTGGCGCCCGGATAGACGATGCTGACAGGTATTTATTACAGCTGTCATCAGCTAACAGTGGTAGAGCCCGCTTCAACATGAAGATGTTAAAACGGGGGAAGGCACTAATGGGCCGGCTCGCCCGGTGTAATGCCACGACCACACAGCATATGTTAAATATATGTATATTACATATAGAATCACTATGTTAGACATGTGGTCCCATCATATTCACAATAGTACACAAAATATTATATTATTTTTAATGGATAGTTTTCGTTACTAAGATGATAAATAATTCTGTATATTCTTTATGTTTTAGAGATGGTTTAACAGCATTGCACTGTGCAGCGGCGAGGGGACATACAGAAGCTCTGGAAACGTTAGTAGGTCTATGCGGGGCCCGCGTGGACATGGCGGACTCGCACGGCTGCACGCCGCTGCACTATGCCGCTGCGCTGGGCCACGCAGACGCGACCTCGGCGCTGCTGGAGCACGGCGCCGACGCGCACCGACAGGATAAGAGGGGACGCAGCCCTGCCCACACCGCCGCCGCTAAAGGACAAATAGAAACCGTTCGCATATTAGGTATACACAATTTGTGAACAATGTTTAATTATAAACATTTTAGTTAAAACATTAACAAGTATGTTAATCTTATTCTATGTATGTTTTTATGACTTCTAGGGGCGAAGGGGGCTAATTTGTGGTTACGCAACTCTAAAGGTGATTTGCCTTTACATGAAGCTGTTGCATCAGGACGTAGAGAATTAGTCAAGTGGCTTTTGGATGGAAGACCTTCTCAAGTGAATGCAACAAACCATGAAGGTCGCACGCCATTGCATATTGCCGCAGCCACCGACAACGCCGATCTCTGTAAACTGTTACTCGATCGCGGTGCAGAAGTTAACCTTGTTGCAAGATCCTCCAGAAACGAACCTTTAACACCGTTGGATTGTGCTACAAGCCGAGGCCACAGGTCAACTGCAAAGTATTTGCAGATGCATGGCGGTTTACCTGCTTCCAAACTCTCAAATACTCAAATAACAATTGACGGTGCTCCTATCACAGGATTGCCTCAACGTAAAGTGACCAGTACAAAAATCGATGTACGTGATCGTATTAGAATAGAAAAAAAAGAAGTAGTCGAGCTCTCGAGTCCTTCACTAGTAAGGCGAAGTACAAAAGATAGAAGTTACGATTATTATACTAACGATTCTTCTTCTGATGACAGGAAAACCCGAAAACGATTTCAAGATAAGCATTCGGAACAATATCAAAACCGTAAAAAACCACAACTTAAGCCGCAAAAAAGTTTCAGTGATGGTTATGATAGTGAATTCGAAGTGTATGATAAAAAAGACCATAAACGAAAATACAAACGAAGGCCCAGAAGTAAGAAGAGTAGATCTAGAAGTGAACCATCCAGACGACGTGGCAAAAGTGCAAAGCAACATCGTCGTTATCACTCGACATCGGAAAGTTCATCAGATACTGACAGTCACGAAGAGAGAAAAAAGAAACGCGGTCGACATAAGCGAGGTAGAAGAAAGACTAGCACTTCATCTGAAAATAGTAGCTCAGAATCGAGCGATAGACGGAGCACAAAAAGAAAAGGCAAGAAAACATCTATTCACATTGAACATGACGACGAGAAACAGAAAGTGAACATAGTGAAATATAAAAATATGGATTACAATCGAAACCTACCAATCGATAATGAAGGTGGCAGTTTTTTAGACGTATCCAAAATCCACGAAGAAACAGACAAAGAACAAGCAACAGTTAAACCAAAATCTTTTAGTGAAACTGAAACCGAGGCTGTTTCGGTTAAAACAAACATGGTAGTTACAGAAGCACAAATACATATGGAGCGCGAATCTACACTTAATGGTAGTTCAGAGTTAATAGTAAAAATGGATTCATCAAATAATGTTGCTATAGAAACGTCTAATTTGTCTGTAACTCATAAAGACTTAAATGAAGAGTCCAAAAATAATTTAGAAAGTAATAATGTTGAAATCGCTTCTAATAGTGAACAAAAAACTGAAGATGATAGTGTAAAACTAGATGAAATGAAAAATGATATTACAGAAGAAGCAAGGCAAGCTATGGAAGAAATAAAAGAAGAAAAGGCTTCAATAATAACAGATATTCCTACAAAAAATTTGCAAAATACTAGTGATATTCGTGAGGATGAGAACAAGCCCGAAGAAATAACAGTAATAAGTGAAGATAGAAAAACTGAATTAAATGAAGATCAAACTCAAGATAAACATCAGTCCTTATCGAATGTTGATAAGGATTCCAAATCTAGGCCATCTTCTGCAGAAAAAAGTAAAGAAACCTCCTCTGGACCAAATTCTAATTTAGAGTCACCTCGCAGAAGATCATTTCAAATTCTATCTGGACCAGATGATACAAGCAAAAGTGATAACTTACCCTTAGATAAACAAAGCTTAGAAAATGTAAGTGATGATAACTTAGGATCTCAGGATAAAACTACCTCTCCGTCAGTTTCGTTTGCTAAAAAACACGAAATTTTCAAAATTAACGGCTCTGATAATTCATCTGATCATTTGATGGGTGAAGAGGTGGAACATGTTGAATTTCAAGCAGAAAAGGGCGAGAATGTAAAAAACGGGGCAAGTGATGGTAATAATCAAGAGGATAAAAGATCACAATATGCATCTACCACGACTAGTAGCAGTGACGTGGCACGAAGCATCGATAACAGTAAGATAAAAAAATCTCGCGCTGATACAGTTAGTGTCGATCGTGCTGTTAAACAAATTGTAATGCAAAGTGGATCCGAAGAGATTCAAGAAAATGAATTTTCATCACTCACCTCTCCTAAACAAGCAAGAAAGAGCTCGAGAGATAGTCAAGTAAGTAGTCGAAAAAGTAGCATTTACGAAACTGAAAGTTACAAAGTCCTTTCAGATGCCACAAATGCTGTTGAAGGCATTTTAAAAAAGTCTAACATAATGGATGAGGGATCTATTGAAGAAGACAAATTCGGTGCTGAGGACAAATTAACGCTTCTTAGAGAAAATTTTTTTGGTAGAGTACCTAGTGTTAGCGATAATGAGATATATTACAGCCATTCCGAAGCTGACGGTCGTCGAAAGCGATTTCGAAAGAAAGGGCGAACAAAAAGTCGGATAACAATAAGGTCCAAAAGTGAAAATTCAGAAAGAGGTTATGAATCTAGCGGGTTAATGGATTCTGGATTCGAACCAAGTCCCAGACCGGTACAAAGATGTATAATGAGTCCCCGGCTTAATGCATACTATCAACAAAGAAATGCAAGTGGCAAATTTCGCGGGAGACCGGATAGCAAGATACCCGTCCGAAAACCTGGCGACAAAAATGCCGTGGATATGAGAACGGTAACACAAAGAATACAAACTAATATGAGACGGTAAGATATACATATATCTAGTTTTTAATTTATTAAATACATGTCAGATGTTTAATACTTATAATTTTTAGGTATTACTGCGAACGAAAAATATTTCAGCATCTGTTAGAACTCAAACGGCTACAAATAAGAACTAGCAAGACAAATGAAGCAGTACTGGTGAAGAGAGCAATCGACGAATATAACAAATCTAGTCTGGCCAACGTTGGACTGGGCCCGTACAATAATCCTGATTTTTCATTTAGTAGTTTTGAAAAATTCCTGTACGATAGTTTAAGAAAATTACAGAAGAGTGGAAAGAGACATTTAGATAAGTTGCCTGAGAAACCATTGGATTTTGATTACGGCGAAAGCGAATTGTACAAAATGGCTGCTATTCCGGATAATCCTTGCTTATGTACCAGCAAGACCCACAGATGTTTTCATGCTGTACATGCTTACACTGGGATACCATGTTCTGCGTATAGTAAGTATCTTCGTTATACTGATATATTATGTATTTTTAATGTGTACTTCCTTTACACTTTTTTTTCTAGTTCCATACAAATGGAATCACCATACAATGCCTAAACCGTCAACGGCGGGGCCGAGTACAAAATCTAAAGGCTTCCTACCAAAAATTAACTCGAAACCACCGACTGGTGCGAACAAGGCTCACTTTACTCTGGAAGTGTCTCACGGCACAGAAAAACAATTAATCGCTTTACCCGCAGAAAAACTGGACAAAAACAAGAGATATTACGTGACGTTTACGGTTAAAGGTTCCGAGCCCACGTCAGACGACAACGCCGCACCCAGCCCCAATAACAAAAGTATACGAAGTGGCTAATTGTTATCGAATTAAAAATGTAACTATAGATAAATGTTGTTCCCTAATTAAGTCATAGATGTGGTAAAAAATACACTCAATTCAAATTCGAGTATTTATTAACAGAGGTATTTTATGTATTTATCAGGACTTTAAGATATGTGTATATGTTACATTTTTTATTACACAAGGCAAAACAGAGAATTAATTTGGTCTTCGGTTAGTTATAATTTAGTTACTAGACTGATCCGTCCAATTGTATTTTTAATATAGATATTTTCTTATCAAATAAACATTGAATATTAAAAGATAGATGTAAAATGTTATTACATCTGTCTCATTAAAATATTGACCCTATATTATGTATGGTGTGATGCTTTCTCTCTAATCCCTGGTTCACACTTAACCAGTATAGTTGAAGTGTAGATGAGCACAATTTGAACAATACCTAATATCAGTGAGTGAAAACAACACATTGCTGGCCTGCGCTACTGTCCCACTGTATCGGTCCGGTGTGAACCAGGCATTGTTTTTTTATGTATTAAATGTTATTTTAAAAATAATGTAGTAATTAAAAGTGTTGAAAGGAAAGACGCGTTTTAATGCGTAAATGTGACCTTACAAGTTATAGTTTGTCTAAATAGACACAGAGTACTTTGTAACATAATGAAATATATTAGTAAATAGATTAGTTTGATAAATGACGTATATGAAGTACCAAATTCAATTTGTATGAAGTCAAATGCCGTACCTAATAGACATGTATCGTAGTGACGAAACAAAATGCATAGAGAACGATTATGAACTATCGATGTTCGGTTTAAATAATTATCGAACTCGACTAAAATTATATTTTCTTATTAAGAGGATAATTCTAGTATTAGTGTAGAGAATTTAGCGATGACAGAAATAATACCGAAATCCAATTAGATTACGTACGACTGTCGAAGTAATAAACACTTATTTACTCTCATTATTTGTAATGGTCATTTTTAATTTGAGAAAAGTGTTTTTTTTTAATTCGATTTCAACTTCAATAACAATAAAAATCGGTAAGATACAAAGTAATCTATCTTATTTAGACAAACTACTATTACTTCTTGTTGGTCGTCGGTCTAGGATCGATTTCTTGGTCAGTTATATTTAGAGATGGATTAGTAGACAATGAAAAATAAGTTTGAATAAGTATTTATTTATTAAATAACAATACAATTTACATTAAAATTAAAAAACAACAGTTATACACCGAGCAGCAGCGCGACGCCGGCCAACGTCCAACGCGTCGGCTTGTCTCTGGTCTTCAAATTGAACGTCCACACAAATGTTGGTCCTCGCATGCTGGATAAAAAAAAAGCAACTTTGTAGTATTTTCTATAGTACATTTTACATTAATAACATAGAATGAGTATCATCATCACCAGCTCACTATATGTCCCCACCGAGGGGCTCGGAGCCTACCCTAATACGGGGTGACTAGGCCATAGTCAACCACGCTGGCCAAGTGCGGGTTGGTTGACTTCACACATATCTTTGAATTTCTTCGCCGATAGGTGCAGGTTGCATCACGATGTTTTCCTTCACCGTAAGAACGTCGGGTAAATTATGTACATATGAAATTCGAAAAATCAAAAATCACATTGGTACATGGCGGGATTCGAACCCAAGACCTGTAGATTACAAGTCAAGTGTTCAAACCACTGAGCCACCGACGCTCCTGAAGAGAGTTGAGTTGAGCTCGAGAATGAGTATAAACCACTGAAATCCTTCCCAAGACCTAAATCTTTGCCAGGATTAAAAGTTGAAAGATTCAAAAAGATTTCTTTGTTTAGGTCCTTTTTGTATTTTTATAAATAGGCACAATTTTTCTAAAAAAAAGACGAAATCTGAAGATAAAAAATATTGAAAGCTATAAAAAAATTTGTGAAATATGTACTAACCGAATTTTGTACACTGGACATTCGTAGACGTTGCGCGTGTCCTGCTTGTCCTGGGTGACGGCGCGCACGTAGATGACGGGCATCAGCGGGAACAGCTCCATCATGCGCGACTCCACAATGCCGCCCGTCATCGTGTCCCAGCGCGCGCCCTCCATGAACAACCCGTGGATGTTGGCGCCCTCGCGCGGCGGCGCGCTGACAAACACAAATTTATTCGAACCATCATAGTAATAAAGGACTAAAGATAAATAAAAATATATTTACTTGAAGTCCTGCCTGTTCCTCTTGGTGACGTCGCAGTTGAGGCACATCTTGTCGAGCGGCCACTCGTTCTTGCGCGCAGTCTGCTGCATGATGGCCGTGAGGAAGGACTGCGGGTTGAAGAAGCCCGCCAGCCACACCGCCGGCGGCAGCTGCAATGTAACAACCGACGGGCGTATTGAATCAGCAATGCAGCGTTGCAAGACTTTTTAAAAATAATTGTGGTCTACTAGCTTTCGCCCGCGACTCCGTCCGCGTAGAAATAAAAAAAAGTGAGTAGCCTATGTGTTCTTCCAGACTATCTTCTACATCTCAACCAATTTTCATCGAAAAATGTTCAGCAGTTTAGGCTACAAACTCTGTAACAAACATGTCTTCATCCATCTAAACTTTCGCATTTATAACATTATAGTATGAATATGATAACTTTCATGATTGGTCATCGCATCAATCATACGGTCATCAAAAGTGGCAATACTTTCGTATGAGGAATGATGTACTAGCTGTAAACATTTAAAAGAACGGTCAGGTAAGCTGTATAAAAGCAAATCTAACATTAAAGTCCCCGGACCAGTTCTCCAGCTCGGTGAGCCGCAGACAGAGGTCTGAGAACCAGGCGGCGAGGCCGAGCAGGCTGGGGTACGCCAGCTTCGTCCACGACTCCGGCACCTTGTCCATGAACAGCGACTCCATCAGGTTCTCCATATCACTGCTGATGGTCAGCTCGCCCTGGAATCACAATATACATGTTTTGTTCTAGCTTATGGAAAATGTATGTAGTTATATATTGATATAGAGCTGCATTTATGCTAAGTTACAATAACAATTAAAACTTGTACCTTGAGACCAAGTTCCAATTCTTTAAGTGAGCGTCGAATCTCTCCCATGAGCCGGTTCATCCGCTCGCACTCTTGTAGCGCGACAATGGTGAAAGGCGTTAGCTCCTCCACTTTTCCCATCAGTTCTTGCAGGTTGAAGGGCTCTGGGATCCTATCCATTATGTCGTCCAGTAAAATACGCACCTAAAATATAATCATTTACATATTCTGTTCTGTAGAGATTATTATTAGTACTGGTATTTTTCCAATCATGTAATTCGATAGTGATTCATACCATTTCTTCCTTGGTAGCGCCACCACCGGCCTGTGCGCCGGCATCTCTCGGTTGCATCTCGAAAACAACCTGAAAAAAGTAAGTCATTAGAATAAAATCAGATTTGATACATAAAAGGAAAGCAGAGAGCAAATTGTGTTGTTATGAACCTTAAATAATCTTTCCGATACAGTGGTTAGATATCCGATCTCTGCGTTGGGATGCAGACCATAGAGGTAGGGCGTCTCCTCGGGCAGGTAATCGTCTATGTACTGGTGGTAGCCCACGTAGTCTGAGTTCGGGGGCGAGATGAACCCCGGGGCTAGTTGTGCTTCGCCGTCCACCTACGGAAATTAACATATTGTCACACTCCCAATATGGATCATTGCAGTTAGTATCTGAACCTTGTTTGAAGGAGTGTATTATCACAACTTTATCAAGCTACTAAAACTAATTATTATAATTCCATCTAAATGAAGTCAACAAACTTTAGTTCTGGAAATAACAATGATAATTTCATTTCCGCTCTGATGATGCTTCTAGCATTTCTATGCTGGACACTAGTCACAATGCTAACTAGTTAAAGACATTGAAGGTATTGAAGATAATGCAACACACCAACTCGGCCTGCATGTACTCGATGAGGAAGGTGCGGCAGAGGCGGCGGTCCCAGTCGTCGGTGATGTGTCCGCCGTACATGATCTCGCCGAACAGGTAGCGCAGGTCCTCCCAGGGCACGCGCGGGTTCGCCTCCAGGTAGTTGAATAGCACGTACACGCAGATCGTCAAGTCGCCGAAGTTGAACGGGTACACTCTAATATCCCATAATTATAATTAATACAATAGTTACTAAGCAAATGTACATTTTTTTTCATGAAATCCTTATGTAAACCCTCTGTCACCAACAAACGAGTCTGTTCCAGAATAAAGTAGACCTCTATTAGCAGAATTGGATTATTCCTGTCAATAATAATATTTTACCTATTCCATCCTTGTGGACCAAATTTCCTTCTTTCTGCAACTACCGCATGGAAGTAGCAAAGTGCGAAAAGTACAGATTTGAATTCCGCTTCCTTGCTGCACATCTCGAGCGTTTCCTGACTGAAGTTATCCAAAGCCTGATATCCATACAAAAGTAAAAGATTATTTCATTGTAACGTAAATATTGGACAATGATTAAACTACGTACTTTATGAAGATTGGCCCACATGCCGATGGGTGGTTCATTGGTGATCTTAATCGAGGATTCTAAGATGCCTTGCGGGATGATGTGGTACGCCGGGTCGGCCGCCGGTTCAGCGCTGAGGAAAAGCCTACAAAATAAAACATTGTTACGGACTGCTTAGGATGCCGACAATACTTTTACTCTTGAAAATGACTTATGAAATATCAGTTCATGGTGTCTAAAACAGACCATAAGTTCATCTCCAAGGGTCTTAATAAGATGTTTCAATTACTAAGAGTAAATATTTTCATGTAAAACTTATTAGTTAATTTGATACATATTCCTGTCCAACCTGTAATCTTCCATTGGATTTTCAAATGTCTCCTCCATTTTCTTTTCTAATGTGGAGAGCCATTTAGCGACGAGATGGATGTTCTGCAAGATGACCCAGTGGCCGACGGAGGACGCCACGCCCATGGCCTCCTCCGCCACTACCTCCTGGCCTTGGCCGAGGGAGACTATGTGGAAAGTCTTCTTATCAGTTGAGAATCCTATCTTTTTACCCAGTTTTTCCAGGTCCTAAAACAATAAAATAGTTTATGAACAAATGCTCAACATGTTTACCTGGATTATTTTTAAATTATGGCGGAGCTTTGTGTCATACCAATAGTTACATTTTAATCAGTAAAGACATGTTACAATACCTTCAATGGGTCGACTCCTGGTGACAGAATGAAAAACATGGCGGTGGTGGATGTGCTCTCTTCGAAAGACTTCTCGAGCGACGGCGTCCGAGCCTCAACGTACTTCGTGCCGAGATTTTCTTCACAGAACGCTCTGAAACAATAAGTGGTTATATTTGATTAAATAACATTTTCAAAAGCTCTACTTCTGTAACACCTCGTATCTAGAATAAATTTAGAAAAAAGCAAGGCAAACTATTTTGATGATAAAAAAAATCAAGGCCGTAATTTGTACTTCATCTGTAAAGATGTAAAAAGTCTACTTTATCAAGTTGCATTTTTGGTTCGTGGTAGCAGTGGTTAGTGTGTGTTTACCCGCAGGCGTAGGACATGCGGTCGGGGCGCAGCGCGCGCATGATGCACAGCCGCTGCAGAGCTGTCTTGTTCTTCCAC